TTGGGAGTTAACACTCTTAGACGTGACCCTAGAGGTGGTGCGGAACAGGAGCAATGGGATAACTTTACTTGTCTTTTGCAGGATCTCCAACTCAGTCCGGTCCCAGATAGACTGGGTTGGGCTATTGATGTTTCAGATAACTTTTCAGTTTCTTCGGCTCGAAAATTCTTGGATGGTCTTACGCTTAGCAACGGAGGTCACTCTACTCGCTGGAATAATTGGGTTCCAATTAAGATCAATATTCTTATTTAGAGAATTAGATTGTCTAGTATCCCTACTAGAGAACGTTTATCTCATAGAGGTATCATGGTGGATTCTATTTTTTGCCCTGTTTGTTCTTCTAGAGTGGAGACTGTTGACCATATTTTTGCTGACTGTCCTGATTTGAGTGCTTTATGGTCCCGTATCGCGATCTGGTGGGGTGTCAACTGCCCTTCTCAGTTGACTGTGGATTCTCTTATCAATTGGGCTGACTCAACCATCCGGCCTCTTGGACAGCGCAAAGCTTTTGATGCGATGATCTTAACCGCCTTTTGGTGCATATGGAATTTCAGGAACGGTTTGATTTTTAGAGCGGCTACGTCTAAGAAATCTATGATTTTTGATAATGTTGTTCATAATTCTTTCGTTTGGATTTCCAGTAGATGTAGTAAAACCAAGTTTAGTTGGTCCTCTTGGCTTCATAATCCTCTTTCAGCTACTATTTTGATGTAATTCTCTTTCTAGCTTCTTGCTTGTTTTATAAAATTCCGCCGTTCAAAAAAAAAAAATACTAAAATTTAAGATTTTTGTTTTAATTGAATTATTTAAAAAGGTAATAAAAAAAATAATAATTAATGCATGTCATTGGTTACCATCCGTAGTGTGGTAAGAAAAAATAAAAGTATGATAAAATTGAAATAACCTTGATGTTACCAACAAAAGAGACTCTCCTCTCTCCATTTGTCTAAAAAATTATTGCAATATGTTTAGGCTACAGGTGAAGATTATGTAACTCTTGGTTGTAAAATCGCCTATGTCATCCGCACATCAAAAGTGCGTCAGCACCCACCAGTAGAGACTAGAGAGTGGATCCTTGCGATTTCCACGCCAAGGCTTTACATCAGCTCCCACTCACAATTTTACCAATCATATTATAAGTATATAATAATAATTATAAGTATATAAATAATAAGTAATAACTAACTCGTAGATTAAATATTTAAAGTTCTTATATCAATAAAAATACATTTAATAAAAATCAATATCATTATACTTACAACTTAATATGAATGTAAAACGTAAATTTAACATAAATTAAATGTTTAACTATAATAATAACTAAGTCATAAATTAAATATTTAAAGTTCTTATTTTAATAAAAATACATTTGATGAAAATCAATATCATTATATTACATTTGATGCTCCCCTTTCAAGACGGCGGATGATATTCAAATCTTTTTGTTCAATTGGGTAAAGAATAGATTGAAGTTTAATCTTATCGTAAGGTTTAATTGGTGTATTTCTCTTTTATATGCTTGTAATTTGTAACTCTTTTTTGTGCTAGAGTCTTGCTAGTTTATAATGTATTTGTTGTTCAAAAAAAAGGTAAAATTAACATAATTTTTGTGTTAAGAAAAATATTAAGATTGATTTGACAGATATTTCAAGAAAAAAATATAACTTATATCAAATGTGAAATATTTTCATTAATCATAATAGAAATAGATATTTATGAAGCACAACCAATTTTATCAATGACTTGTGACAATGGTTAACAAACAAATACAAAGATTTGAACTAAGATCTTCTATAAGATCTTCTAAAAGAAGCGTTAACATCTCAATCCTCCTACAATAAGCTTTCAACAATAACAACAAAATAAAGAAAATCGGCCCCCATCTAGTCAACCAATTACCATCTCAATTTTCCAACACACAAAAGCAACTTATCTATAATTCAAGAGTCGATCTTTAACTCATTTTACATACGAACATTTGAGATGGATACTTCAAGAGCAACCTTTATCCAATATCTTTAGACATTGTATATAATTGAGGTAAAACCGTAAAAGAAGTCAGAGTAATAAGTCCAAAAGGTTATAGTGTGATTTGGATTTTGGTGACTCGAATAAGTAATCTGATTCGAAACGGAGTGAAGAAACACGAATGATGACTTCAAAGGGATAAATGTTTAGAGTAAACTACTTGTAATCTTGTATAGTTGTATATGTGCTCGACCCAACAGTTGCTAGATTTTATGATTATAAGTATTTACAATTAGGGATTCCAATATAATCACTTTTGAAAACAATCAAGGGTAATAGAAGAGTTCTTTGGTTTTGTATATGAATGTAGGTCACATCAATCGAACTTTCTTTATTGTGTAACACTTAAAAATAAGTGTAAGCATGGGAAGTGCAAGGGAAACAACAAAAATGCAAAAAGGCATAACTCCCAATCTACACGGAAGTACATAAGGCATGAGCAAAGCACGTAAAGGTCTTGGCGCATGGGTTTGGCTCGACCGTCAGTCCCAAATCTCTTCATTTGTGTCTTCAAATTCCGTATTTTATTTATATTTATTAAGATTTTTGGTTTTATAAATTACTTTTTTTTGTATAATAAACCACATTACATTAGTTAGTCACATGATATTTTAAGAAATAATTACCAATCGACTTTGTTGCTTTCTAATTTTGAAATTTAGATGTATCTGTGAAAATTATAACTCTTTTATATAAAAAGATCATATAGTGTCTTTTTTTTTTTTTTTTTGCGATGAAGAGGTTAAGGATATTAGAATTTCCTTTCTCTTTAACATTTGTAAACATCATGTATTCTCACTTTGTCATGCGTAAGTATGACCGACAAACCTCTAAAAGTCTTTTCAATCCAATGAAAACCCCTACCACCACATTAGGTAATGGTTCATATGTAGTAAATAAAGAGATGATTAAAATTAAACAATAGGTTTGTTTGTCTATAAAGAATATAATGGGACATTCCTCGTGAACTTATTTACATTTAATAACGTTTTGTTCTCTAGTTTAAAAACAATGACGATGAAAAAAAAAAAAAAATGGGTGAAAGAAAAGCGGAGGGAATCCCTCCCGACCGGCTTATATATTGACAGATATTTTCCAAAGAAAAAATGTTTATAACTTTATTTCTCTTTTTTAAAAAAAAAATAATAACACACTACATTTCATTTCTTTCTAAAAAAAGTTAAAAAAACACTTTTTTTATCTTCCTTTCCTTTTAAAACTCAAAAACATTGCATAAGAGAGGTGTTTTTTTTTCTTCAAGAAATGCAATGATATATTATAATAATAAATTACTTTTTATTCACATAATCTTTCATAATACCAATCTTTTAAAAAAAATCAAAACTTCAATCAAAAATACTTTTTATTTTTATAAATAACTAAAATTTATTTTTATTATAGTTCTATATTAAAACTTTAATTAAAAACATTTTTTATTTTCATAAATAAATAAAATTATTTTTTGTTATAGTTATATTCTAAAATTGCATGGTATTTCTTTTTAGTAAACAATTTTTTAATGTTAAATAGTTATTTATTAACTATTACATGACATATATTTTTTAATGAAATGAAATATGATTATATTGTAATTTATTTAACCATGTGTCCTTAGTGAAATGTTGTAATTTAGCTAATAGTATATATTTATTTTATTTAAGTTTATTATTATATGATAACATTTTTTCTTTATCTGGCAAATTAATCTTCTTTAGCTTTTTATATATATAAAGTAGACAAAATATTTGAATAATTTATTTATTTCTTCGAACTAACTAAATATGACAATATATTTTAATAAATCATTTTTTACGTTGTTTAATTCTTTTTTCAAGAATTTATTTCATCTTACAAAATAGATCCTAAAGATTTTTGATTGTCAAAATAAGTTCTAAATATTTTAAATTATTATCCAAAATAATGCTTTTCACACATTTAGTATAAAAGATCATTCATAAGACTCTAAAACAATAGTAATATGAAGTGGCAAAACTTTGGGGCCTTTATGCATAAAACATTCTTATTACTTAAAAAGACAACTAATTTGAGTGAATTGAGATCTCAACCTTTTAGTGAGTGGGGTGACAACAACACCATCATGACTCTTCCCCAACTATAAAGACACTCACATTCTCAATGCCAATATACCATCATAGTAATGTATAAAATCGATGTCGCTTATTAAAATTACATAAATTTTATCATAAAAATGTTGCATCTATTTACAACAATGTATAACAAAATTAAATATGTTTAGCTCATTACATATTGCCTCTGTATAGTGTATGCATGTAGATATTATAACACAAATGAAGTAAAGTATCTCTATCTCCTATGAGAAGTTTCTTGAAAGATCGATCAATAATATTGCATTTACTCAATTACTCTATTTAATTTCACATATTAAAATGAATTTATTTTATTAAATATTATTTTTGGATATATTTTTTTGAATATGATGTGTCTAAAACTAAAATATTATATAATAGACTTTATTAAACATCTAACAAAGATTAGATGAAATTAGTTATTGGTTGTAAAAGATTTTTGATAATAGTATTTTTAAATAAAATTTATATAAACTGATTTGTCAAATTAAAGTCATTAAAACGTCAATAGTTCTAGATGCTGAGAATGATAATTTTAAACACAATATATGCAAGTATCGTGATTCAGTAATGTAATGATAAGAAAAAAAAACAATAATAAAAAGATTATGTGGACCGAAATTAATGTACCAATAACTAATACTAAAATTCCGCTTTTGAAGGTAATGTATCATGCCCAACCAACACCATTAGCCATAACTGTCACTAAAATACTATTTATAATGTAAAAGAATACATCAGGCCACCTTTTATGGAGTGGGATACAACACAATCATATCCACTTTGCTCCCATTGGTTGACTTATCACCATTTGCACACTAAACACAATAACTATGTGAAACTACACCCCGAATATTTTCTCTCATGAACCTACTTTCATTACTTGCATTACTCATTCATTTCTCATCTCATTTTTATGGCCATTGTATCACCAATAACATTCATCTTGGTTCGGAAACTACCCTTGATGTACCCATGTTGTACATTACAGGACTTGTCGAAAAAGCATTTATTCTCGAGACCAGTCAGCATACACCTAACTTTCAGGCAGGGCTTATTGTTGAAGCAACTGAAGACAAGTATGTTTGTTCGTTTGTACTTTTTCTTGGGAACATTAAGGTTTGGAGTTCATCTCATTTATCACGGTTTTTCACCTCTGGGAAATGTATGCTCACTCTCAATAGGGATGGTGACCTACAATTAACTGGCCAAAAGGGTGAGATAGGATGGCGAACCGCAACCTATGGGCAAGGTATAGAGGTAATTCTGGTGTATTTTGTTAATTAAGACCCATAAAAATGGTTTCATTTGTTAAGTGCTTATTATGGAACATGCATTAGGGACTTGTATTGTACAAGTCGCCAATGCATATGGCATACGTCTCATGGTATACTTTTTTTGTGTCGTGAAAGTTTTTGTTAGAACCGTTAATACACACATCTCTAATCTTACTTTTAAATCTACAGACGCATGCATTGAACTTCTCAATGTAGGTAACTTATTTTGTCTTCAACTCTGAAGTAAAATTCATTTGGTATACACCGTTAAAAAACCCATAAAATGAAATAACGAATATTTGTTAATTTGTTATACTTTTAAACATGCATTGGTGACTTATATCGTACAAGTCGCTAATGCATGCATCGAGTTTCTATCTTAGAAATACTCTTTGCATGCTAGAAGTTATTAATGGGTTTCAAGTTATAAATGTAGTTCGTGAAGAGTACTATTCTTCTATGCATATCTAGAATAACAATACACCATATGCCACAATCATCATATATGAAATTCGAGTATAATACATGGTCTCATACATGCATTGCTTACTTGTACCATACAAGTCATTGATGCACTCACTTGATATCTAGAACCCCAACTATATTCATTTTTCACAACATTGGAAATAAAATTTGCTTCAATTTCAGTTACAAAGTTTTTTTTTTTCCCATGTTTTAGAGGCTGCAATTATCAAACACTGGGAATCTTGTTCTTTTGGACGAATTTAACACGATCAAATGGCAAAGCTTTCATTTCCCCACAGATGTAATGCTTTGGGGACAAACATTAGACGTTGGAACAAAGCTAACTTCCTTCCCTACGAATTCAAATTCATTTTATTCATTCGAAATTCATCGTGAAAAACTTGCACTTTACCTAAACTCAGGCAACTTCAAGTACTCATACTGGGAATTCAACCCTACAAAACCCCAAAAAATCTCGTTCATTCGTTTGGCATTAAATGGGTTACAGTTATTCAACGATGACAACCACAAGATCGCTCAAATCCCCTCAAAAAGACTCCAACGTTTAAGGTTTTTAGCCATTGAGAACACAACTGGAAACCTAGGGTTCTACTACTACTCAACCACCACAACAAAATTCGAAGCTTCATTCCAATCCCTAAGAAACAAATGTGATCAACCGAATCTTTGCAAAGCCAATGACATTTGTACCCTTTCGAAGGAATGTTCAAGGTTGGAAATCGAGGGGTTTTCGGGTAACTTTTGTGGGAATAGCAGGGTTGATATGCAGGAGTTACGTAGCGCAATGAGCATCCTGAAAGATGAAAACAAGAAGATGGTTAACATGACGAGGGAAACATGTGCAGGTTCTTGTATGGATGATTGTACATGTGTTGGTGCATTGTTTACAAGTGGGAATAACGAGTGTTATCTATATGAAGAGGTTAGGGGTGTGAAGGAGGTTGATGATGATGAAAAAGTGAGTACTTTCATGGTGAAGGTTTTGAAGAAAGGTAGTAATGGATTGAAGAGATGGGCATTGATTTTGATTGTTGTTAGTGATGGATTGATCCTTTTTATATGTTTGGGAGGATTGTGTTTTTATATGTTACGAAAAAGAAGATAAAATGAAACAAACTTAATTGTATCTTTTAAAGCTTGTGAAAATAATTTAAATGTAATTTTGATCTGAACATGATATTGAATGTTTTGTATTTGTTGTTGGAAAGCAAAAACTGTATTTATGTTCATGAAATACAACAGTATATTGAATATGCCACTATAAAATGTAAATACATTTTGTAAACTTGAATAGGACTCATTGCCATGGCCCAGTGGGCCAGTAATATAATTTGCTATGCGTATATACTATATACCTCACATATATCTAAACTCAGAAGTGTATCATGTCAAATAATCTCAAGTTTCACATGTTTTAGTCTAACTACATTACTACAACATAATGTTGTATTACTTTTATTGCATATTTGAATAATTACGATCTTGGTTTATAACATGTTTTCTTTCATCTCGGTTATAAATACCGACACTACAAAATAACCAGGTTTTTAGAGGAAATAAAATACCTATTTTTCTGCATTATTTATAAATCACAATCATGTTCAACGTTATAGTGCCAACCGGTTATTTTTGTCTTCTTTTAGAGTTAGATGATATAAAACTAAACACTCCGTATTAAGATCGTCCCAACCTTTAACATTACATTAAACTGATAAAATTAATGTAAAATATATAAACATTAAATAATTTTAAACCTATTACATTATATTTTACACAAAAAGTATTTTATATATATATATATATATATATATATATATATATATATATATATTCCTTTTTATCAAACTTTTATAATTTTATAAAAACAATTTTTATATTTATTAGCTTTTTATAGACTCTAACATATATCCTTTTTTTTACAATAATTTTATACATTATATTGTCAAAGATTCATAACCAAAATTTATTATCGCATTATTACAACACGAATTGCATTATACACTATTAGATACAGTAACACAACTAGATTTATTAAAAAAAGCATTATAATCATAAAAAAATAAACTAAAATAAATGAGTTTAAAGTTGAAAGACCAATTTTTACCATTGAAACCTTGGTGTTATATTTGTAACCAATATTATCTTTGATGTAAATTTTAGTGTTGGGTAAATTTGATGTAAATTTTGAATCCTAACAATCATTTTCAACCTTTCACTAAAACTCATATTTATACTAAACTTTTATATTAAATTGTTTAAGTCAACACTAAATTGTATAATAAATATAGTATCGTAAGATTACTATATTATTCGTTAACACTAAATTGTATAAAATAAATATCAATGTTTTATAAATAACAAGTTCTATATGCAAAATATTTTTGACTTAAACTTGTTTTAAATCAAACTCATCTTTGACATTGTTATCTTTATTATATAAATGACATTCACATATTCCAACTTCAAGAAAGAGATTCTTGAAGGCAAATAATGTAGTTTATTTGACATATGTAAATATTATTTATATATAAAGGATTCCTAATGATATTTTCACTAAGTAGTTGAGAAAATAAATGAAAATAAATTATTAAGGAACTATACACTATGGTGTATGACTTCCTTTCTAATGAATGTCTAAGATTTATCATAAGATATCAAATCAACTTTATTAACAACTATAGTAGTTATAAATTATGTTTTACATGTTAAAACATATTTGTGAAATCTTTGTTGAAGGTTCCAAAACAAACATTGTTTTATATTACAAGTACATTATGTACGTAGCATAATTAATAAACTAAACTCCGAGAGTATAGTTTCAACTTGATTGTGCTCCGTTGGTTACTCTTCTGTAAATATCTCCAAACTATTTACAAATATTAGATTAACATTTAAGTACCAAGTACCTGAGTGTTATATGAAAAGTATGAGTTCTATCTAATAGATACCTGAAATACTAGTCTCTTCCAGACTTTCTTTCCAGATAAGAGGAGCAGATCCTCTTCCAGTGTCCAGTTTCTTCATAAAAGAAACAAGATCCATCCATGTGGGCCTTATTGGATTTCTTGGGCTTAAAGGTGTTCAATCCATAAAACATGGGCCTCTCAGATCACTTAAGGTGATTCTTTTGGGCCTTGAACTATTCGTGGTTTAATGTTAGAAACATCTTTGGCATCACGTTGATGCCTTTACTAAGTATCATGTTCAGGCTTATTGCTCAAAGCAAATAGTTTAGGACTAGGACCTTTAAGAGTATACAATTTCATATCTCTCACAAGATTGTCTCTTAAGATATGAACTCATTCATTGAATTTGTATCTAGTGAATGTTATTGTTTCATTAAGTCATTAAAGAAAAATGACAATTCATGGTAATGATAATAGATTATCATACTACAAAATTTTAACAAAATTCATTTAGTATTTTCAATATTTAAACTCTTTAATAATTAATACCCTTTTAGTTTCCAAAAACATTAATTATCACAGTCTAGGATCCAAGTTGCAAAACAAATAAATGGTTAGGTATCATTTATCCCATCCATTTGAATTCAACCTGGTAGATATCAATTATTAATTATATCTTACTATCTAATTCCTAGATTTATGGGATCGCTAATAACAAATTTAATTAGACATGTTTAATCCCATCTATGCCTCGAAATTCTCTTGCTTAGGTATACTTTATCACAAAAGATTTTCAATCAAATCGTCCAATTTGAAAAACATGTGTAATCGACCTATAACTTGGTTATAGAAATCGCGAATATACCCCGACCATCTAAAGATAACACTAAGCGGTTAGTTATCCTTTATCCCACTAGTGCATACAAGAAATGTGCGAGTGCTCTTCAAAACGGATTGCATAGATTTGAGGTTTGTAAAAAAGGTCTTTTATATGTTTTATAATTCTAATTTTAAAAAACATATGATATCATGGTTACTACATGCATATAGAAAAACCATGATACCAAATTTCAAAAGAAAATCACTTTTAAAGGTTCTGTATAAAAGCTAGTTTTTATATAATTTAACGTGATTCATTTTTAATAATCGGTATTAAACCTTTTATATCTTTAATAAAACTTTCACTTGTTACTTACATATTTGGAGTTTGTACAAGTTATAAAAATCACCATTTTAAAACTTATAATTGAGTATTTCAAAATTTGACATTATTAACATTTTTATAAAATTAGATTTTATTTTAAGACAATAACTTGTTACATCTTATATCCATATTATAAATTTTGAAAACCAAACTCCATGTGATGTTTATTTTGTCCAAAAATTATTTTAGCATGTGAAAAACTAATTTATCAACCACACATAATAATTGCATTAAATAAATAACACAAACATGCATAAAATTATATGTGTATAAACATATAATTTTTATGGCCAAGTGAAGATCATGGGATTTGGAGCTTAGTCGAGTACGCAGGGCGTACTCACCAAGTACGCTAGGCATAAAGGGTTAAATGATCGCGAGTCCCTTTTTAGTTCGCCAAACGTACTAAGGGGTACGTTGGGCGTACTCCCTTCAGCATCAAACCCTAATTTTGGGGTTTTACCCCTATATAAGCAACATTATATCCTTCCTCTGGACATTTTAGGACAACCTCCATCCCCTTTAGCCTATATTGAAACCCTAGAGTGCCGTGAGTGAGTTTTGGAGCTTGGAAGAGTGTTTGTGGTGGTTTGTGTTAAAGAATAAGGAGCTTGAAGACTCATTCTTTGGAAGAGGGCTTTGAGATCCAACTTTATCATCTTCTTTTGGTGGCTTGTGAGGTATAAAGTTCAAACCTTGCCATTTCATCTCATAGATTTGCTATTTGGTATGTTTTTGGTCATTTAGGGTCTCCTTGGTTGGTGATTGGGTGTTAAGGCCGTTTTTGGAGCTTAGCTTTATGGATGTGGACATATTAAGGATTCCTTATGCATAAAGGTACCAACTTTATGGTGGTTTTGGTCTCATGCAAGTATTAAGACATTTATTAAGCTCATTTGAGCTCTAGTGTCCCATTTAGCCATGCATGCACATAAAGTTGGCAACTTTATGTGATTAGCCACCTTGGGGAAGTCAGATATGAGTTTTGATCGAAGTCTTATTGGATTAAGAGTTGAATTGGGAAAATTGGCCAAGCTGGTGAGTACGCGGGGCATACAAGCATGTACATTGTGCGTACAAGCCTTTTAACTCGTACGTTTCGCGTACTCAGCAGGTTGGATTTCTTTTGGGCTTAAGTGGGCTTGGTTGTCTTGGGCCATTTTGGGCCATCAGAATTCATGGGTTGGGCTGTTGAGATTTTGTTGGACTTTTAGGGTAAAGGCCCATGAAAGGGATTGGTCCTAATTTGGTAAATTGGGCCATATTTGGGCCTTAGATGCTTATTATGGGTTTTGGGATTTTGGACATTTGGATTGGGCCAAGTTGGTGGAAGGGTGAAAAGGTCTTTTACCCTAATTTGGACTCTTTGTGTGAGTCAGGATCTAGTTATTAATGGGTTGTCATTTTGATATTTGATAGCGCGTGGATTTTAGCGGATTTGCAGTTAGATTTTTATCCGTGGGTTTCACCTGTCTGAGGTGAGTCTCCTCATTGTACTATGGGTCGAAGGCACCAATGTCGACCCATTGGCTTATATATTATGGAAAGACTATGGGGTGGCCCTTGGCATTTGTATGAAACACTCGAAGGTGGCTCCTGGCAAATCAGTATGCAAATAAGTAAATAGTTAGTGGTAGATTGTATACTAGTTGTCTTTGTGATGCTTGCATGGAAGAACATGAGGTGACTCCTGGAACTTGTCTGTATGACCCAGAGTTTTGGCCCTCGTTCTGGCAGGGAAAGACCATGATACGACTTGTGGTATAATGGTAAGACTATGGTTGGCACATAGCACCTCCTATTGCATGTTTGATATGTATGATATGTATGAATCGTATCTTATGTATGGTATGTGGTATTTTGGGGAACTCACTAAGCTTTGTCCTTACAGTTGTTGTTTATGGTTTCAGGTACTTCTGGCTCAAAAGGGAAGGGTCCGCCTTAATCGCAGCGCATACACCCACGTTTTCTACAACTTAGTGATTTTGAGATTGTACTCTGATAACTATTCTTCT